AGTGTGGCTGCTCAGGGGGTAGTGGGGATTTAGAGAGGGCACAATGCTGAGCCTGCATTCCAGAAACTCACAGTCTAGGGTGTCCCCTTGCCAAAGTACTGTAATTTCTCATTCATTCATTCGAGATATACTTTTCATGCTGACTCTGCTCCAGGCACTGTGTAGGCCCTGAGAAGGCAACTGTAAATACAGCCAATAGCAAGGTAGGTGCCTTTCTGGAGGTCACAGTCCCGTGGACCAGGCAAACGCACTCACGACGCAACCAGTAGTCCCTTCCTCCATCTGCCGACCCATTCATGTGTTCACTCACTCATTCGCTCAAGGAACATTTATAGAGCCTCTACCAGCCCTGACACTGAGCCAGGCACTGGGTGCACTGTGGGGACAGGGGATGGGGGCCCATCCTCGTGGAGCTCAGCGTCCAGCAGAGTTGCGGTCAGGGTGTGATCTGAAGGGGAGGGTGCCAGTAGTCAGCAGAGAGTGAGGCCCTGATGGGAGCAGGGAGAGGGGGTCAGAGAGGACTTGGTAGATGAGGCGGATGGAGCTCAAGCAAAGCCCTGAAGGTCAGATTGGAGCCTGCTCAGGTCAGGCAGGGGTCAATCCCTGGTCGTGGTGGTCGTTCCTCTCCCCCCTCCCTCGCAGGCACCTCTTCCCTGACCTCCTCGGAGCTTAGCAAGATAAACAAAGACCTCCCTGCGTGCTGGGCTGTGACCACACACCCGGAAGTCCTTTCTTTATAACCACAAACTTCTCTGTCCTGACTTCAGCTACACGATGTCTCCTCATTGCTGTCTGAAGCATTTTCCCAGGGAAAGCATTTTCCCAGTGAGAAGACCTAGCAACAAATGCAAATACCAACCCATCCGTCTAATCTTCCTCACTGTCCCTGCTGCAGGAGCTGGGGCTTCCTGGGGACAGGCTGAGCTCAGAGGGAAATGGGAAGAGGCGAGAGCAAGTGCCAGTGCCGGGGAAGGTTTCCCTGCCTGTACGGGGTCTGGATGCACTTCCATGTCAGCATTCCTGGCCGTGATGGGGTGGGGGCACTGAGAGGGCCAGGAAGTCCCCCTGAAGGGCAGTTTCACTGGCTGCGTCCCTGTCCTGCAGTCATGCCAGGCACAGTTTTGTTTCATTCATGACACCATCACAGGACACCTGCTCTGTGCCAGGCCCCATGGGAGGCACTGGGCCAAGCAAGATGAGCAGGATGCAGTTCCCACCTCGGAGGGGCTCACCGTCTGAAGGGACACAGACATGCAGACAGGGCTCATGCCCTAACGGGGGAGCGTGCAGACATGCAGATGGAGAAGATTCATCCACAGTGATGGATGCAAATTTCTGAGCACGAGGGATGGGGATGAAAGACATTTAGGGGGTAAAATACCCTGTTCTAGTGATGTGTTGGAGGGGTGGGGAGATGAGTGTGCAGGGCAAAGAAAGGACACAGGATCCTAACTCTACCATTCACTTGCTCTGTCCCTCCCTCCTGGTTTCTGTTTTCCCATCTGTTCCCTGCAGGGACCTACCCAGATGTTCCCTCACGTCCTGCTTCTGTCCCAGTGTGATGCTCCAGGTGTCCACTGCTCCTTACTGTTGCTTCCATTTATTCAGCACCTACTATGTGGCGGGCAGTGCAGGGCATTTTTTTCATACGTTTTAGCATAGTCTTCACAACCATGCTGTTTTGAAGGCATTATTGTCCCTATCTGAAATATGGGCACATGGAGGCTCAGAGAGTGTGGATGTATATTCAGTGAGGAGCTCTGTATAGTAGAGAGATCAAAAGACCTTCGTAATCGCCCCTGGGAAACCTTCCCTGCACCCCCATCGCATTGAGTGGAAGGAGGTGTACCTACGCTTTCCCTCCCGGCTTGAACTCCCAGTTCAAAGACACCGCTCGTCTTCCCCAGGGTCGTGTCACTGTTTTGCTTGAAAGCCGGTGGGGGTGACAGGACTCGGCCAAGTGCACGCTGAAGGGTGGGTCGCTGGATGTGGGGGGAGGGAAAGGCTCAGACTCAAGGACGCGTCAATCGCAAAAGTAAGATCACCTGGAGGAAACCCTAGACATCTAGCCCACCCCTCGCATTTGTGAATTGAGGAAAATGAGGCTCAGACTAGGGGAGAGAGTAGTCCCAAGTCACACAGCAAGCCAGAGGCCGAGGGCAGGGCGCGCATCCGCACCTCCTCCGGGTCTTGCACCCTCTGCTGGGTCCGCGGGGCCCCAGGAACCCGCGCCGGACCCGCGGGAGCGTCCTGGCCCTCCGCAACGCCCGCACTCTCCCCCGGCACTACCCCAGTAAGGCAACAATTAAGGAGCGGAGGAGGCCCCCTCTGCATCTGGGTGATCGTGTTCTCCTTGGAGCCGACCCGCCGGGGCTCCGAGCGTTAGCGCTCCAGCGCGGCTTGCAGGGCGCGCTCCCAGCTCTGCTGACGCCGGGAGCCGCGGCGAGGGGCCCGCGCGGGAGCTGGCGCGCCCCGCGCTGCTGGGCAGACAGCACAGACGACAGTGGCCCTGCTCCTCGCCAGGGATCCAGCGCTGGCCAGGCGGCTCCCAGAAGCGCCTGGCGCTGCCTGGAAAATGGGGCCTAGAAGTCAGGTCCGGGCACGTTGGGTCCTAGAAACCTCCCTGAGTTCCCCGCGCCAGACCCCTAACACAGGCTCTGCCCTCAGGGAACTGGAGAAGCCGGTAGGGAGGCAGTGTGGTAAAGGAGGCCACACTCCAAAGAGGGAGGCCAGGGAGGCCTATCTGGGGTGAGGAAGGCTTCCCCGAGGAGGTGACTTTTACTATTGAGGCAGGAGAGCAGAGCGGGAAGTAACCCAAGTGACCTGGGCAGGGGAGGAGTCTTTCAGACAGAGGGTAAGGCTAGAGGAGAGGGTGGTCTTGGAACCCCTGCAGGCTCTATTCTGTTCGGTTTATCTGAGATGGAAGCAGGAGGCAGGGCCCAGATCTGGAAGGGCCTGGAGGGTTCCAAGCATTAAAGGAAGCCACTTAAGGTTTTAGAATAGGCCCCTCATTGCCCCTGTTTGGGGGCAGGCAGGTAGTCTACTCAGCCACTGGCCCTTTGTTCTCTATCCCTCTCAATCCCCAACACACACCCCTTGGAGGCTGGGGTTCTCTCCCAGCTGCAGCAGTGTTCAGATGACGGCTGACTCACCTGCCTCTGCGGAGGGAACAATCAATCCCACCTTCGCCCTGGAGGCCAGGCCCCAGCGAGGTCTCTGGAGAGAGCCGTCCACGTCCACAGCCCTTCCCAGGGGAATGGGAGGCTCAGGCCTGAGGATGAGGGCACTTGAGGGTGGAGAACCCCATATTTCTCCAGAGCCCTCTAGGGCAGGAGTGCCAGCTTAGCACTTCCAAGTCCTTGCTGGTGTGGGCTGCCACCGCCCTGTGGAACCCACTGCAGAGCAGGAGACGGCCCAGCCCCAGATGTCTCCCTTCTTGACCAGAGCCAAACAAGGCCTGGTGGGAGGGTGAGAAGGGGGTGTTGAATCTTGGGAAAGCGGTGCCTGTGCTGTATAGACAGGATGGCTTCCCAGAGGAGGCAGCCTTTTAGTAGAACTGCTTAGATCCCCAGAAAGATAGGATTTTGAAAAGTAGAGGAGAGGAAGGCACTTCAACCTGAAGCAAAGAAACAGCAGGTGCAGAGGCATGAAGACAGCAGTGGGAGACAGGTTCATCAAATGGCAGGGGAAGGGGTCAGCAGGTGGAGAAAGAAGTGGCTGGAGCCAGACTGAGAAGGGTCTCCAGTGCTAAGGTCAGACATTTGAGGAGGCAGGGGCCCTCCCCCAGGAAGGGGCCAGCTGGAGCCAGAGCAGAATCAACGGATAAAGTCCCATCTGCCTCAGACTTGGGGCCTGGTTGCCCCCTTTGTGTTCACCTTCCAGGCCCCAGAGCGGGGTTCCCCTTGGCCTCCAGCCCAGCCTCAGGCCCAGCCTTCAAGAGACGACCCTCAGGAGCCGGATCCGTGCAGGCGCAGCCAGGACTCACAAAAGCCAGGCCAAAGAACTGTTGGCCCCTTCAAGTAACAGAGGACCGCTGGAACCGCAGAGCAGGAGGGACTCTTGGAGATGTTTAGATTCCTCTGTCTTTATACAGACGGGCAAACTGAGGCCCAGAGAGAGGACTCGCCAAAGTCACCCAGCAGGAGAACAGCCTGGTGGTCCCACAGCCTGGACAGCCATCCTGGTGGTCCCCTCCTCAGGAAGAGGGGTAACCACCCATCCGCGGCCCAGTGAGCTCCAAGTGCATTCTGGGCGCAGCTTCCTTGGGTGGTGGCTACCCAACCCTCGCGGCCCCAAGCCCTCGGCCTACGAGGCGAGTACTGGGTGCACAGTGTCCGAATGCCTGGCGGGCTGGCTCCGCGTTGGCAGAGCAGTTGGGTCGAGCTGGTTCCGCTGCCTAAGGCTCCAGCTCTCCCCGACCTCTCCCCCTCAACCGGAAGAATGCGGAGATAGGATTTTTAAAAGTGTCTCTTTTTAAAAAGAAGAGTTTTTCTTTTTAAATTCCTCTAGGGCTCCTTATTCCGCCTTGTCCCCACTTCACTGGGGACGGCTAGTGGGGAGGGAGGGGCAGGAGCAGAAAAACACTCGGGTCCACTCCTCACTATCGAAGTCCCCACCTATCCCCCGCGGGACCCGGGGCCGCTGCGGCTGCGGAGCGTGCGGGCTGGAGACGCGGCACCCTGCGCTGCGCGCCGAGGAGGGACGGGGCCCGAGTGCCAAGGGAGGCCGCGTGCACCGTGAATCTCTAAATCAGACGAACTGCAGGAATACCTCGAGAAACGTTGCTTATTACGCTATTATTAATTCCCCCCTTCTCTCCACCCCCCAGGAGCTAATTAAATTCATCCCTGAATCTCGGGCCAGGAAAAAGCCTCTAAAAGAACGAGCCATCCAGGGGGCACATCCAGGCCGCGGCTCCCGCCCCGAGGCCGCTGGCCGACCACCCGCTTTCCGGCGCACGATCTCCCCGCTGCCGAAGCAACTGGGTCAGACTTCCAGACTTAAAACGAAGTCGTTTATTTCAATTTTGTTTTCACATTACGTTCCGATACAATCAAAACTCCTGGACGAACCTCTTGAATAAAAGTCCTGCGACGAGCGCAATCACAGGTCCTGGGTCCCCCGGGTGACACGGTGGGCGGACTCCGGATTGAGAGGCGGTGATAGAAAACATATGCTGCTTCGGGAACTGTGGAGCGGCCGGTGGGGGAAATCCAGGGCAAAGGCGTGGGAAGCGTGCCGCTCAGGGCAGGCTGGTTTCGGCTCCTCTAATTGGGACTACGTATTCCTGATGCATTTGGACTTCGAAAAACCCAAACTTCACTTCCAGGCGGGCGGCCGTGCCTGGCCTAGCAAGATTTCGGCCAAAATTTCTTACGTTTGCGCCAAAGCAGGGAGCACAGACGAACACAGAGCTGGCTCTGGGCCTGGCGCAGGAAGGAGCGCAGCCGGCTTCGCGGGGAAGCCCTCGCGCCCCGGCCTCTCTCGCTCAGGTCACGTTCTACCAAGTCTCCGGCACCTCTGAACCTCACCCTTCCGCACCCCGCCCGCAAACCTCGCAGCCAGGGAAGATGCGGAGTTTAGAGAGATGTTTCAGAAAAATAAAAGTCCCACTTCAACTTTATTGGATTAAAGCAAAATTAAATCTTGGCTATTGACACGTATGTTACAGACGACGAGGAAGCGTCCGGAAGAGCCTCCTGGCGTTTGGTGGAGCCACAGAACACGGGGGCAGGGACAAGCATCAGACACCAAGCAGCCTTAGATTTCACGATCACTCCGAATAGGACATAGAAATACGGAAATACGGCCAGTTTCCACTGGGAAGAGTTCTTTGTGTACAAATGATATTTATTTATATATATAATGTTAAACCAGTCACCACTAAGGTGAGTCCTTTTCTCTGCTAGCAAGCAGCCGAAGACACAAAGTATCTTCAGCTAATTAACTCTGGAGCAGTGTTTTAAGAAGAGCAATACTTGCCAAATTAAAACTACCTCCCCCATCCAAAAAAAAAAAAAAAAAACTTACACCCTCTCCAAACTAAAAAAAAGGGGGATGGGCATATTAGATTTCAGCAGGTGGAAAGATTCAGAGGGGAACTGAGGAGGAAGATATTTCACATTATACAGTGAAATACAAAATTTCTTTTATATAAATTGTAGGGAACATGAACATGGGGGAAAGAAACAATGACAAGGCAGTCTCTCTTCCTTCATTACTGCGACTGGAATGGGGGAGGTGAGTTAATTTTCGGAAAGGGGAGTGCGCAGAGCTAAGCGGAATTGACTTGTAACGAGGAAACGGACGAAGTTGTCCAACCGCCCGCCGGCGCGCACTTTTACCCGGATACAGCTGGGGAACGTGTAGGAAATTTCAAGTCGTGCCGCCTTGTCGTCCTCTAAATTTCAGCCTCTTTCTCATTCCCCCTCCTGCCTTCCTCCTGCCTTCGCCCTCTCCCTGCCTCCATTCCTGCGATGAGCCAGTCAGAGGGGAAACACGAGGAATCCCGAGAAGGTCGAGTACTTCCAACCCCCCATCAAGTTCCCTCGCTCCAGCTTGAGGTATGCTCGGTCGCCTTTCTCCATCTGGATCAGGACTCCGTTGCTGGCGGCCTCCCGGGTCACGTCCTGGTCACCAGCGAAGGCTGAAATCACCGGCCACCCGTTTAACATGAGGCTCACCTGAGAAAGAGAAAGGCCCGCTTCAGAGGCGCACCCCAGGCGGGTACCGAAGCGGCAGTGGAGACGCGAACCTTCGAGGCTTGGCTGACAGCCATAAAGGCCTGGAAGCATTTGAAGGGGGGCGGGGGGAGGGAGGAAAAGGGTCTTTACATCTTACTCTGAGGGTCCAATGAGGGCGAAAGACGGCCCATCTGGGTGAGAAGAAGGGTCTGCCCCCTTGAGTCCCTTGAGCGCGCCCCGAGAATCTAGAAATCGCGACTGTGCTCTTTTATCCAGTTTAAAGAATCCGTGGGTGGCTCAAGCGCCTCTGTCCCTCCCCCCGACCCCCAAGGCTCAAAGAGAAACTCGGGCAACTCCGCTCCTGGCGCTTCGGAGAAAACAAACACAAACAAACAAAAACCCTGGCTCCTACCGGTCCTAGCTGCCTGGACACCATGGAGACAGTGGGGAAGCCAGACAAGGCTTCCGGCTGAGGAGAAATCTCGCGCAGAGCTGCACTCTGTGCTTCATCCCCAACCCCCGGGCTCAATTCCCGACCCAGGTCCAGCCGCTTCGCCACCGCCTGGTTTTGCCCTTGCGGTGGCATCGGCAGCCAGAGGCCCGGCGCCCTTTCCCCAGCCGCGCGTTCCGCCTTCTGTCTCCGCCCCAAGGAAACCTGGACACCTTTGGAAACCCGGAGAGCCGGTGAGCGCTGGCTGGGACGCGGCTGGAGCCAGGAGGGAGTGGCACTACGCCCCTCCCTTCTCTCTCCACCCTTCACCCACTTGGGTTCGGGCTGCTAGTTCCAAAACCCAGAGTCGGACCCCAAAGAGACCCCGGGAGACCCCCCGAGCGTGGTGCTTAAGGCAAGCGCACAGGCGTCTCGTAGGCTTCCGAGCAGGGACGAGGGCTCGGGGAGACTGTTCGAGGTGCTGAAGGAGAGGGTCGCGGAAATCTTCCGGAAGCGGGAACTGTTTGTGATGTTAACAGCGACCGCTATGGGAAACCCCAGGAGTCCCGGGGGAAAGTGGGAGAACCTCTTTGGAGAGGCCCATAAGGCGGAGGAGGGAAACTCTGCCTCTCGGGATGGGGCTAGGTTCCAAGGGCCGGCGACAGAAGAAGCAAGGGTCAGCCCAAATCACAGAACCGCGAGGCCCCGATCGCCGTCCCTCCAAGCAGCCCCGGGCGCATGCAGCTGCCCCTTCTATCTCCCACCCCCCACACGGCCCGCTCACTCCCTAGGCTAGTAGCGCCCTACGGAGGCCGGGGCCAGGCCCTGAGGCGGCCGCTGACCTGGATGGTCTGTCTGTTGTAGACTTTTACCACGTGGAAGTTAAAACTGTAGATCCCTTTGCGCGGGGCGATGAAAGTGCTGCGTTCTGAATCAAAGTTGTTCCCGATGTTCACTAGTACCTATAACGAGACGGGAACCAAGGGGAGTCGGCAAGAGTCAATCCCGAATCTCGTCCCCACGCCTCCGCAGAGACCTTGGAGAGCACCCGGCACTTCCTTCCACCTCTCCACCCCCCACCCGCCACCCCCACCACGAAACCGAGAGCATGGAGCTCTCACCTGGTCGAAGTAGATGATCATGGTGCGGTTACTCATCTCGGACGGCTCGTGGTTGGTGCTCCTGATGGCAGAGAAAGCCACCTTGGCGCTGCCGGAGCGCACGGAGATGCCCAGAGCCGTGCCCGTGGGGTCGGACGTGGGGTTGGAGTCGCACACCACCAAGCACTTGCCCTCCAGCACGATGGGCTCCGTCTCATTCTGCCCGCGGGCTGGGCCCGCCAGCCACGCTGCCCCCAGCAGCAGC